TGAAAGGGCTGGAGGGAGGCAGCATGTCTGGCCTTGCAGGAATAGGCCTTGGGCTACTGATGGTGATTCTGTCTTCCTCTTATGGGGTTAGAGGAGGTCAGAAGATGTGGCCTCCTTGTCCCTTTGGCAAACTGATAGACAGGTGATGAAATGTATGTATATATACATAAATATTTGAGCCCCAGCTCTACCAAATGGTAGCTTACTGTATGTTCCTAAGCCTTAGTGGTTTTATGGAGAAAATATAACAAATCACTGGCTCTCAGATGTAAGCATGGGAAACTTGTTGAAATTCAGATTGCCCTCATTCCCCCCACTCCCCATTTGCTATTGAGATGATTCCAATTCATAGTGACCTCATGTATGGCAAAGTAGAACTGTGCTCCATTGCATTTTCAATGGCTGCTTTTTCAGAGACAGAATCCAAGATTTTTCTTTGGAGGAACCTATCGGTTTACTCAAAGCTCCAACTTTCAGGTCAGCAGCAGAGAAGGTTAACCTCTTGTATCACCCAGAGGCTCCTTCCCTCATCCCTTCAGAATTTCTGAAGTTGTGGATCTGAGTTGGGCCCAAGAATTGGCATTTATATCAAGTGTCTTGTTGATTCTGATGCTGGTGGCCTGCAGACCACACTTCAAGAATGACTTGCATACGACGCAGGACCAATGGAGAAGTGAATGAAATAATATTTACAAAATGCTTGCTTATTAACTGTTATATAAAGTATAACCTTTCCTTTTGCTTCATAAAATATAAACAAAAATGATAAATGAAAAATAGAAGTAATCTTGTTTTGATTTTGACTCTATCCCATGAGTGAAGGAATAACATCATATTGCAATATTTCTCACTTTAGAGTTAGAAGCACAGATTGTGTGGGCATTGCACTTACAGTGGCTTTTCTGGCACCCATCCCAAAGGCTTTCAATTTCAGAGAAAAACTAAAACATATGTATTACCCTGCAATTTTTTTTTATATCTATTATAACCACTATTTTTAACAAAGTCCCACACATAGAGGGATGGTTTTAGTTTGAGTCTGTTTATGGGAGGTTATCCAACATAATACTTTCCATCTCTTGGTATTGACAACACCCCAAAACCTGGACCAAAAAGAAAAGAATCTTGACTATAGAAATTAGCAGATGCTTTTCATAAAAGACAGTGTGTTGGAAAGGAGAAAAGTGGTTTTGAAGGGAGAAGCCACATTTTATAATTTATTTGATTGCATGAAATTGAAAGCAGCATTCTGTATTCCATTAAAGCACTGCAACATCTAACATGTATTTTTAGAAAGGATTAGAGCAAAGAGTTGCCAATGGATACAATAGACAAGACCCTGGGAGCAGCAATTCCTACTCCCATGCCTGCTTTGCCATCCTCTACAAGATTTCCTCCAGTGCAAAACCAGAGCTGGATGATCTCTGAAGACCATTTCCCAAATCATACTTTATGATAAAGGGACCTCAGGGAGTGGGTGTATGACCACACAATACATTGCTGGGTACCAAGAGTCCAAATAAAATAATTTCCTATCAATCTTTATAGAAGGTTGTAGACAATATTTTTTGACCAGTAAGTCCATTATAAAGGCATCCCCACCCCCTTAGTGATGTAGAAGGAAAGATGATGTTACTATTTTCAGTTCAGATCAACTCATAGTGATCCCCATTGGGCTTCGGGGGCAGTAAATTTTCACAGAAGTAGATTGCCCCATCTTCCTTTGACTAGCTCTCAGGCTATTTAAATATATAAAACTCCCATTAGGAGCTAGTGAGGATGGGAGGCAAGGAGGATTGGGACCTACTTTATAGCTGAGTATAACAACTTTGAGGGAGAAAAGGGTGATGTTAGGTGGGACATTCACTACGTGTCCAGGAAGGAGGCCTGAGTCCATTGAGCGAAGTTGGAAGTAAGAACAGACTATGGACAGATAGTAAGCTGTCATCCAAATGGTTTCCAGACACTATCACAAGGAGACATTGGTGTTCAGTGGTAGAATTCTCACATTCCATGTGGGTTTGATTCCTGGACAATGCCACTCATGCAATAGCAGCCATCCATCTGTCACTGGAGATGTGTGTTGTGGTGATGCTGAACAGGTTTAAGCAGAGCTTCCAGACTAAGGTAGACTAGAAAGAAAGGCCTAGTGATCTACTGCCAAAAATCAGCCAAAGAAAACTCAATGGATCACAACGGTCTGATCCAACCAATCATGGGGATGGTGCAGGACCAGGTAGCATTTCTTTCTGTTGTGTGTGGGGTCACCATGAATTAAGAGTCAACTCAACGTCAGCTAACAGCAACAACATCACAAAGAAAATCATTACTAAATTTTTCTCCCCACCATAGTGACAAACTCCTTAGAGATGAAGATTTTTTACTTGACCTGAAATCCAACTCTAGTTGACTAGCACATTTAAAATAAAACTCAAAACTCTTAAACTACCTGCACTTCCAGTCCCTGCTATTCTCCCAAAAATGGTAAACATAAGTTTAAAAAACAATCAAGCAAAGCTTTTTTTCCACAGTTTTTCCTCCTGTTGGGGACATTATTTGGTAAATCAAGAAAAAGGTACAATTTACCCACTAAATTAACACAATCCCTTATAATACAATTAATTAAAACAAAACTGTATGTGATACAATTATATAGAGGATGATTATACAAAAGTAATGATGTAGTGTAAATGGCAATGACTTCCACGTAATTGAAGTAATGAGAACTTCCTTGATTAGAAAATAAGAGATTCCTATTGACAAATGTTCCTTCTATTGATCCACATACTTTGCCACCTGATGAAATCATACACTTTTCCCTCACCATTAATAAAGACTATAGGGGTGGAAACAATTCCATGTCGTTTATTCTAGGTTCTCTAAATTAGCACATTTTGCACATTTTAAGGAAGCACACATTTTATTACACACTTTGCCAGGTGGTTGAATAGGAGAGGAAAAAAAAAATGAAGAAGATCCAGGAAGTCTTTTTAATTTGTTGATGATACTATGTGTAGTGATACTAACATAGAAGCAGGCAAGTAAAATTCTACCAAATTATATCGGTCATTCTGAGCATTAGCAGTGAATATGTACTGCATAGTTAATTTCTGTCATGCTCAGTAGAGGCATTTTTGTTTTCTCATCATTGTTCCTCTGGACTGGGATAGGCACCTCTCTAGATCTGAAATGTCTCCCTTTTCTGTCCTTCATACTTCTTCTTGAGTACTAGGAAGATCTGACCACCTTCCTCCCTGACTTCTCACCCAAAGCATGGAGCCCAATTCCATTGGCAACCATGGTTCTTCTCACTGGTGCTGGCCCATATCTCTAGCCACATTTATGAAAATGGATGCCACAACACTGATCTATAATCCCTACTGAGCTATATTTTATTGAATCTAAGATACCATTGTCCATTGTAAAACATACAATTATTTTATGTATCTCTTAGACTAAAAATGCTGTCAACTGAACTATTGCATGCTATAAGCTATGCTCTCTCCAACTTCTATGCATTCTGGCATGCTTTTTACTGCCAGCTCTCCCCACACTGACACTCCCACCTCTACCAAACCTGCTTATGCCTTCTTTAAGATTCAGCTCAACACCACTCCCTGAACATCTTCACCTCATTCTCCTGAGGCCAGACTAAGTTATTGCCAGGTGTCCCAGAAATGAAGGTACACTTCTTCTTATTTATCTCACTCTATTATAATGACTAATTTATTTCCTGATAAAACTTGGGCAGAGACCCCAAATCACAAAAACAAAGGCAAGTACTTGATACATTATTCACCCATGTTTGGAAGGATGAAGTATATAGGATCTAGAGAAAAACATAGACAAAATAGGAAACCTTGAAAATTCAGGATGGAATCTGATTCTCTGCAAGGGGTGAGTGGAGGGGCAGTCTTTGAATCTAGGATATTCTACCATAAGAGAAGCCAGATCTTAGGAGAAATAAAGATACTGAGATTTCTAGATCCCCAGCTTCACAGTAAAATTGCTGATTGTCTCTAAACAGCATCTGGTCTCCTCTATGCTAAAGAAGCAATGTGTGTAGGGTAGGTGGCAAAGCTTAGTCACACCTGGGGAGCAACTGCAGCCACTGGACTCTGCCAGAACTCCTTTTGTAGGACTCCCACAGGGGCTATTGCTCCTTTCCCAGTGCTAGAAAGGAAACCCATCACAGTGAAGAATGAATTAGTTTAGGAAGGAAGGAATTCCTCCTTCCTTTTTGCTTTACTCCTAACTTAAAACTAATCAAATGTTTATGCATAAAATTTTAATCTTTTCACAAATTTGTATTTTGATTTAATTTGCATATCCCATTTACTTCAAGTCACTATGAAGAGAGACTACACTAATTTAAACCATTTTTCTCGAGGCCTCAAATCCTTTCAGAAATATTTTCCATTAGGCAACTCTATTATGTCTAATGTAGCTAATGTTGATGGATTAGAATTTTGCTTAAATAAACTCATATTTAGAACAGTGAGAATGGGAAAGGGGTGAGAGAACAGAGAAGAGACAATTATTACCTGTCTTTGATGCTACACAGATCAATGTGTAAATTACTAAAATTCCCCAGGGAACCTTGCTGAACTGAAATGAGGTCCTTGGGCTGGTTATCAATAAAGATGAGCCGCATGCAGCCTTGGAAAGCCTTAGTAGGATTTAAACATTGGGAATCGGTGAGATTGTCAGGGCACCCTGTGGGATAGAGAAAAAAAGATGAAGACGAATACTGAAATGGTAAGTCATTGCTTTGGTGATCTATTGATGGAAAACCTTGAGGTCTAATTATTTTGGTGCTTTTTCATTCACAGCAATAGTCACAATTTTCTTGTAAATTCTAAGATTCTCAGAGAGGGCACAGAATTGGTACAAAAGGGGGCATATTCAATCACTGTATTGGGGAAAAAATGTGTGTTAAAAGGAATACCAATATCAACCTTCATAACTTTTTTTTTATTATTATTTCTATTGGTAAGCTATTAGCCATTCTTTCATAGTACGCCTCACTTAAATGAAAGTAGCAATATATTTTAACTACTTTAGAATTCTGATTCTGTTGAAACACACGTCTAAATGCACAATTCAGTTCTGAATTACATGTTCAAAGGAAATTATGCTTTAGCTAAGGACAGCAGCAGCATAATTGTCTGGTTAATTGTTAGCATTAACAGGCTTAGTTCCTGAGAAAGGCACACACAGGAACGTACTCAGAATTTTGATGTGATGTACAATGCAAATCCAGACTCTAAGGGAACCCAGGGTTTAAACTCACTCAGTTATAGGACTATAATAGCTTGTGTGAAAGGTTATAACAATACCTTTTAAAAGAACGTTCTTTTTAAAAAGTGCATTACGCTAATTTAGCCTAGCTTGTGACCCAGGCGATACTTCTCATTAAGATAGGTTCAGAGCAGCATAGCTATGTGCTCAGTACAAAATCCATCCTGATTGTTTTAATAGGTTCAGAACATATGGGAATGCAAGCTTGAAAACATGGCAATAACCCATAAATAATTGGGAATTATTTTAGCCATCGCTAATAGATAGTCACTGCTGGGCCGAAGCACGGCAGCTGGTTAACAGCTCACAGGCACACTATAAAATGAAGAGAGATGTTACAACTTCTAATTGAGCTGTACAGAGAATTTATGTAAGTTGGCTATTATTACTGAAACTCATTTTTCACCTTCCTTAAGTTTACAATCTATGTGTGGGGCATTCGGTTAAACACTGTTCAAAATACACATAAATCTTCGATTCCTAAACCTAAACATAAATCTTCGATTCTTAAATCAGTGCAAGAGAACACCTCTTCAATTAGGGAAAGGGGCCATTTTGCCTCTAAGGCATTTCAAATGCTTATTGTTATCACAATTAATCAGATCTTCCAAATCATTCATTTTCCCCAGAAATAAATTCCAGACTGTTTTTCTCTCTACATTGGTGAAATATTGTCTACAATCCAAAATTACACAATCAGCCAGCTTTACCTTTGGGGGCCCAAGATTCCTCCTTCTTAGCCTTTTCACTGCTTTCGCTATCATACCTTTGTTTTCACTAGTGTCCATGGAGAACAAATATCTGGGTTTGAATCCTAGCTTTACCAGAAGGTTGGCGGTTCAAACCCACCAGCCACTCCTCGGAAGGAAGACTGGGCAATCTACTTCCATAGAGATATTGCCTAGGAAACCCAAGGAGGGGTCGCTATGAGTCGGAGACAACTTGACGGCACATAACAACAACAACAACAACACTTCCTATTAGCTCTATGGCCTTGCAGAGATTATTGTATCTCAGCAAATGACAGTCATCACGTATGAAATGGGGGTAATATTGCCTGCTTCCAAAGTTTCTGTGTGAATTAGATTATGTAAGACACATAAAATATTTATAGAGAATGGAAATATATTCCTTCCTTAAATGAACTTGTTATCACTGCGCATGTGGAAAAGATTTCAGGTAAAAGACAAAGGCCTTTCCTGAGGCCCTACAATCAAAGCAGAAATTTATCCTTCCATTCTGCTTACCTTTCAGAAGATTCTAATAGGTGCACTGAATCTGGGAAAGCTCTTTTATATTGTACAGTTTATATTGTGTCATTGGTATGAAAGACATAATTTGTAAATTCTCTAAGAGACTGCACTGCATAATTTTGCACAATATTACTGTTCAGTTTCTTAGCACAGAAAGAATTGACAGCTGCAGATAAGCCCCACCCCATGCAAGAGCAGAAACCTGTTTGTCCCTACCAAGAAGGAGGCACTGTGCTCAACATTTAAAACCCTTGTTCTCACTTCACTCTCCCCGCAATTCATTTCCTCTTATTCCTGTTAAGGAAGCTGATTTCCCCATGTTCTTGAAAAGAAAGTTTAGGGATGGACAATAAGTGTCTTCCTCAAGGTCAAACAGCTACTGAGGTTAAATACTCTTTAGAGATTATTTCTATAATACAAACAACCACATAAGGAACTAGATACTCAATTTTTAATGAAAACTTCCTTGAATTTTTAATGAAAAATACCTTGAAAGGACTAAGTAACAATATATATGCATCTGTGAAAAAGTAGAAAATATCAAATGTTTTTTTTTTTTTTTTTTTTATTGGCATCACATTGCCATAGTGCTTTTTGCCATAGGAAAGATCTCTAAATCAAAAAACCCAACTCACTGTTGTGGAGTCAGATCCAACTTATAGAAACCCCTCCTTGGGTTTCTGAGGCAGTATCACTATGGAAGTAGATTGCCCCACAATCCTTCAGAGGAGTGGCTGGTGGGTTTGAACCTCCAGCCTTCTGGTTAGCAGTCAAATGTGTTAGGCATTACACCACCAGAGCTCCCAGAAAGATTTCTAGGATTTACATAACAGTGGGAAGGATGGGGTGCCTAATGGCTGCTCCATGTGGAGCTATAAGCTCTTCCATCTCCTCTCTGTTTCTAGCTGCCTCACTTCCTGGGCACGGCCTCCAGGGATGTGGGGAGGGAAGGGACACAGGATTAAAGAAAGCCAAAGGTTAAGGGGTAGCCTGATGGCTGAGTGTGCTGGGTTTTTCCCACCTGGATATTTCCTCTCGCAGGTACTGCTGATGTTTGATACAGTTCACCCAAGTTTTCAGCTGAGTTTCTCCTTTCAAATGTGATCAGAGAGCTTGGCATGGCTACAAAAATCTCCTTTGGATGTGTTATGTAACATCAGGCCTTAGAGTTAAAATTCTTTCCTTCCCCAGCACTGGCCTAGATAATTTATATTTTCACAGCTGTGAGAGAACTTACTTCTCACTATTTTGGGATTGGGTGTGGGTGTCTCTATGTGTGTGTGTGCGTTCACGGGTGTGTGTTGGGAGAATGGTCTAATTTACAAAGCAAGTATCATCACAGTGAAATAAATGTCCATTACATTGTCACCCCACACCTACCCCTCATGCCGCTTCATTTTCAATCTCAATGGCTGAGGAATTTACCTCCAAAGTAGTAGCTGTTTCCCGAATAAATCTGCATGGGGGTAGTGTCCTGAGCTGGGGAGGTTGCATCATTATCTAGAGTGAGAGTGATGTGGTTCCTTCTGGCATTGATGCTAACTGAATGCCACAAGCCATCATTCAAGTTGCTGCCTGTAAAAGAAACAGGAAGGGAGAGCGTCGGGATGATTGATTCCAGGAGGTTTGCAGAACTCAGCATTCAGTTTCCTGCTGTGGTCTACATGAAGTCTCAGCCTGTACCCACTGCTCAGTCTGCTTAAGCCAAACCTCTGTCTCTCTTCCTTTGCATCTTTAATGCTTATATTTATTTATTTACCCTTTCAAAAGTGCTAAACTACTTCTGTTAAGTCTGGCTTAAAGATAAAAGGACAGACACAAAATTCTAGTTGCACTACAAATAAAAGTACATAATATTTTAACTGACCCATTGATGTATACACAAATGCAAAGAAAAAAAGCGGATAAGCTAACCTAAAAATAACACCAATGGTTTTATCTCTGGGTAGTGATTATAGGCAATTTTAAATTTCATATGCCTTTCTGTGAATAGCTGATAGAGATTTTAGAGTTAAAAGTAAACTCTTTTTTGAAGACAAAAGTAGGTGGGGGAAGCTAGATGACAGTGATCTGCTGGGCAGAGGAAGACCCCTGTTGTAGAAAAATAGCAGACTAGTTCAATTCCTGCCTTTTTAGGTATAACTAGTTATACTGGATAAGTTGTCTATTTTCACTGAGCTTCAATTTTATCATCTTTAATAGTCCTTATTTTATATCATCACTGCAGGGATCAGCTGACATCAGGTATGAAAAATTCCTAAGGCACTACTGAATACAGTGGGTGCTTCTAAAAAAAAAAGAAAAAGAAAAAGAAAAGAAAAACTCACTGCCCTCAAGTCTGATCCGACTCATAGCGGCCCCTCTTTGGGTTTCCAAGGCAATATCACTAGGGAAGTAGATTGCCCAATCTTCCTTCTGAGGAGTGGGTGCTTACTAAAAGTTAATGCATTTCCTCTTTTTCCAGCTCAAAGGTCATTTTCACACACTGTGCTTTTGATACATTGAGGAAAGAGTATTAGGAAATAGTTATGAGGGTACAACTATTTCCACCTAAAACTTTATGATCTGTTAAAGCTTTGTCAGTGTAAAGAGCTTGCAGAAGGCAACAGTGGTATTTACCAATGAGTTCAGAAAGATTTGGATGTGACAAAGAGCACATAGCCATACATTTCTTTGTCCAAAAGACATTTATTGTGCTCTGCTATGGGTTCAGTGGCTTGAACTCTTACTGTCTCTGTTTCCTCCTCTGCAAAATCGAGTCAAAGATTGTACTCATATGTCATTGTGGAAATAGCACATGTGAGTACTATAGCTAAACTAGAATATCATCATAGTAGTCCTGGAACTTCAGACTATGGTATTAACGTTACATGGTCTCTATCCTGGGATAGTTCATATTTAAATGGAATTGACAGTAGAAAGAAGATTAAAATACAGTGTTTTGAGTTCAGATTAATGAGGTAGACAGAGAAGGAAATAATAACAGCAAAACTGTAATATTCAGGAAACAGCAAAATAGAAGCCCATGCCAGAGTTGAGACATGTTCCGAAAAATGAGCAAGAGTTCACTACTCAAAGAGCAAAAATTGCAGGAGAGGGCATAGCCCTTACAAAGAAACGTGGAATGGAAGGAGAAAACAGTAAGAAGACATGTGAAAAGAGGAATTACCCAGCAAGCTCACATGGCAGGCTGAGGAAGGGGTTTTAACAATACCCTTTGACAAATGATTCTGCAGAGTATGTTCAAAATTCCCAGACTACTTGTATCAGATTCTCTGGGGATAGGGCCTTATGTATGTACATTTTTAAAAATGTGCAACCAGGGAAGAAAATCACACTTTCAATTAAGCAAGTATATGAGGTGTCTTTGGCACTGAAATAACCTCAAAGGAGGTGATATTCAAAGACTTATCTGGCCTAAAGTGCAGGGGGCTTGAGCGTGTAAAGGCTGCCAGGAAAACTGTAGTGCCTATTGCTTGCACAGGCCTCAGACTGCCAAAATGATAAGGGTTTCAGCCAAAATGGTAGCAGTGCAAATAGCAAGCAAAGGATGGATTAAGAGCTATTTTAAGAGGTAAAATAGGCCAGACTGGGTGGAGCCTCTTGGAGCAGTCTCTAAGAAACTCAGCTGGAAGAAAACACTAAAAAATAAGTGGAAGTTGTGCTGGGCTTTAAGAGCAGGGACAGAAGAGTTGCTACCTCTGAGCCACCAGACAGCCAACAAGCGTCCTTCAGAGAAGTACAGCCCCAACCCTTGGCCCACCTGCATTCGTACCAGCAACCAAGCCTCATTTACTGAGAACTCCCCAGCTTAAAAGGCCCCATGTGTCTTCAGCCAGACCTTCCCTGCCAGTCCCTAGAAGCCCCAAACTTCTGCTTCATTTGGAGGGGGAAGAATTCAAGGTGTCTTAGCTTTGTGGCCTAGCTTCCTCCCAAAGGCAGTTTTCCTCTGATAAGGCCAAGGCTCAAGTCCTGGCCACAGAGACTCTGTTAACAAAGGAGAGGCTGTGTCAGGTGTTTCCTGATGATAAACATACCACTTCTGTCAGGGGCATTTGGGGGACAAAAGAGCTGCAGTTTCTCAAGTCATTTTACTTTCATTTAAATGCTCATGTACATACATCTACATAGTATGTGAGACTACATTTGCACACAAACATTATAGACTGTTCTGGTTAGAAAGGAGCCAGTAACCTACTTATTCAACATATAATGTCTCAGTATTCCTTAAGGGCTAGGTATCCAGTTAGGCACTGGTGATAAAATAAGGAAGAAACTACAAGGGTCACAGGGAGTGTCTTATTTGATCATCTACTCCTTTCACAGATGACACGGACACCCAGAGAAGAGATGTGCTCAATGACAGTCTGTGTTGAGTCCTAGCCTCTTCTACATCACTCTCCAAGTCTTCCTTTCTTTAAAGTTATCTAAGGAATGTTGGCTTGGCTGTTTATTTTGCTTTGCATTGTTTTTTCAGTCTGGTTTTCCTTCTGGTTTTATCTTTATCCTACATAGTCCCTAGTCCCTGCAGGGGGAGCATTGTGAAAGTTTTAGATCTTTACAGGGAAATTATTAGAACAATGGTTCTTGATACTAATGACAAAAGAATCACCTGGGCAGCTTTTAATAGTACAGACCCTTGGGTCTCACACCAGGTCAATTAAATCAAATTCTGAGGGTGGGCCCAGGCCTTAGAATTTAAAAAGATCCACAGGGATCAAATTGTGCAGCCAGGTTTGAGAAAAACGCCAATAAACTTTTCAGAAGAGGGAGGAAAGAAGCTAGGAAAAACAAGATGAATTTAGGAGAGATGACCAAGAATAGATTCCAAAGCAAGTGAAATGGTGTGCTTGCCTCCACAAACTTCACTTTGTCCATGAGTACACTTTTCCACTTTATTCTATTAATGAACACAAAATAATAGCCCTAGAGATTCCCTAGGGTTTAGTTATTAAGAACACTCATTTAAGGGTACAGATTGAAGTGTTATTAATTATTCACAAATTATGGAGAATCAGTTCCATCAGATTGCTTTCTTTCCAACACTGCACTTGGATAAACAACTATAGAAGAATAGATATTTTCCATGGGGAGAACAGAAAGGCAAAGGAAATAACTTTGAGGCTAGTAAGACCTCGATGGGAAATGCCTCCAGGTGTTAATGAGATTTAAGGCCTTTGAGGCACTAAAACCAAACAAAAACCTAACTCACTGCTGTCAAGTCCATTCATTCATAGTGACCCCTTCCTTAGGTTTCCAAGGCAGTATCTCTACAGAAGTAGATTGCTGGTGGCTTTCCTTCCAAGGGGTGGCTGGTGGGTTTGAACTGTCAGCCTTCTGGTTAGCAATCAAATGCATTAGGCACTACACCACCAGAGCACCAAACAAACAAACAAACAAAAAAACCTCACTGCTGTCGAGTTGTATCTGACTCATAGCAACCCATCCTTGGGTGTCTGAGGCAGTATCACTACGGAAGTAGATTGCCCAATTTTCCTTCCGAGGAGTGGCTAGTGGGTTTGAACTGCCAGACTTCTGGTTAGCTGTCAAATGCCTTAGGCACTATGCCACCAGAGCTCCTACCAGGGCACTAGGTGTCCTCCCAAAAAATAAAAACTCACTGCCATCAAGTTGATTCCAACTCCCTTTGGGTTTCTGAGGTGGCAAATCTTTACAGAAGTAGATTGCCCAGTCTTCCTTCCATGGACTGGGTGGTGGTTTGAACCACCAACCTTCTGGTTAGTAGTCAAATGCTTCAGGCACCACATCACCAGAGCTCCTTAGGTGTCCCTGGGTAATATAAATAGTTAACTTGCTGGGCTGCTAAGTGAAAGGTTGGAGATTAGCCTCTACACAGAGATACTTCAGAAGGTGGGCTTAGTGATCTACTTGCAGAAAATCAGTCAGTGAAATCCTTATGAAGTATTTGTACTCTTATACACATGTGATTGCCATGCGTTAGAATCAACTAGACAACAATTTGGACACGAAGCACCTGGATTTTTCTTTTTTTAGAACTGAGGCTTAAAAAGTGAGAAGTAGATTGTGGAAAGATAGTTGGATGATGGCAAACAAACTTTAAAACATTAAAAATATGTCTGACAATATTTGTTTTCTCCCAGATTAGCACAAAGGCAAACAAACAAAAAAGAAAGAAAGAAAAACAGTATTGATGTCCTAAGTTTGAACAAGGAGCTCTGGTAGCATAGTGTCTAAGGCACTTGACTGCTAACCAGAAGGCTGCTGGTTCAAACCCACCAGCCACTCCTCAGAAGGAAGGTTGGGCAATCTACTTCTGTAGTGATACTGCCTTGGAAACCCAAGGAGGGGTCGCTATAAGTTGTATCTGATTCAATGAGAGTTAGTTTGAAGTTTGAACATTCTTTCCTTGAGACCACATGCCAATAATAATCAAAAGCCCTAAAAATTTTCATACCTCATTTCTCAGAAATTTTATTCTGAATAATCAATCCTAAAATAATAACATAGTTACAGCCAAGATGAAAGGCAAAGAGAGTTCATAACAGTATTGTTTACAATATCAAAAATTCACAACTACCTTATTTCCAAAAGTA